GTGTCACTGGCCCTCATATGTGGGATCCGAACCGGGGCCCTCTGGCATCCCAAGCGAGTTCTTAACCATCGCGCCACTCGGCCGGCCCGAGGGTTGGGACTTTTAGTCTCACCCCTCAACCTCCAGGAAATGGAAGATGAAGTTCAATCACCAATGGCCAATGATTTAATTAATCATTCCTTTGTGATGATGCTCCATAAAAACCCAAAGGGCAGGGTGTCCTGTGCTCCAGGGCTGGTGAACACAGGGAGATTCAGGGAGAGTGGAGTGCTCAGAAAGCATGGAAGCCTGCTCCCTTTCCACATACCTTGGCCTATGTACTCTTCCATCTAGCTTATGGTCTCTCCAGGTAGGTAGTGTCAGAATTGAGTTGAATTGTAGGACTGATGTCCAAGAATTACTCGGTAGTGTGAAGGGAAAACCCACATTGGAATCAGTCCCACCACTGCAGACCCAGTAGATACTCCTTCATCTCTTCCTATCATCCTCCCTTATAAGTTTGCTTCAAGGTCTGTGTTCTGTCAAGAGGGACTCTTTCTCGTTGCCTATCATTTATATACAGAGGGTGCCAAACAAATGTACATACATTTTAAGACAGGAAAAAACTGTATTAAAATTGTCATACTCAAAATATACCGATAACAAAGTTGAATACAAGTCACGTTTGACTTCTGCAATTACAAGAGATGCTCAATGTGGTTACCATTAGCATAATTTTAACACAGTTTTTTCCTTTCTTTAAAATTGGATACCTTTTTTTGGCACCTTCTATATAAATATTTATCGAGTGCCCAATGTATTTGCAAAATATTGGCTAGACATGTGTAATTACTGATGGGGAGGTGGGAGAAAGAACGTGAATTAGATTTGTTGCATGCTCTTGAATTGCATACAAGCTCTGTTCAAAAACTAGGAAGGCACACAGAAAACTATTATATAAGGTGGTAAGAAGCAAAGGTCACTAGCCTCCAAAATCATCTTTGGTGAAATTTCATCTCCAGTGGAAAATTGTTTACATTAATCAGAATGAAAAAAATCAACCTCAGCTCTTCAAACGCTCACGTGCCTGACCTGGGTATGTTGTCACATACTGACGAGTTAATGTTTTAGTACAGAGCAAAGTTTCCTGACCTGAGCCTCTGGGATCTTGAGTTCTGATCTCAAAAGATTCTAAGCAGGAATGTTGTCTACTGTGCTGTGTCATTGCTTGCAGCATTCTGTCTTGAATTGATGATAAATTCCTTTATACTGAAGATGCAAAACTCTTCTCATGTTCCGGGTAACAAAATATATTTTCCTTTGACTGAACATTATTCATTTTACCTCTTGCAGTAAGAAGTGCCCATTATGATGGTCTGAATCATGACTAAATTGTCTGGTAAATATCATTGGAATACTATGTATCCTCATGTCTAACAAAAGCAATTGTGATCCAGATGCAGCTGGAAAAGCAATTCCTCTTAAGAAATAGGTAAGGAAGATCCAATCCCCAAGTCCCTAGATTTTGAAGGACAAATACTCTCTCCACTAGATTATTTTGTGGCACTTACATTTTTAAGTGTATTTCTGACTCTGATCTTCTGTTTATGACAAATTATTTCAGACTAGAAATGGTCTTGTCATCTCATAGCACTATACCTAGCTCATGCAGATAGGGTGCACTACCTTAGTTAATTTTCTTTAGGAAAATGTGTTTGATGGTAGGGGACTTGACTAAAATTTGGGGAAAATAAAGAAATTTACGTTTAAATCAAGCCTCCCACCAACCAAAAAGATAGTCATAAATGCATTGTTAGACATATCTGATGAGCAAAGTGGATAGGGATGGAGCTCTAACACCAAAGTGCCTGGGGTAGAGTCATGGCTTTACATAACTATGAATCACTGTGTGACTTTGGGAAAGTTACTTCATGTCTCTGGACTTCCCTTTCTTCATGAGTAAAATACAGATGTAATAGCACCTATCTTATAGAATTATTTTTGAGGGGGATTATTTCATTAATCCATGTAAATTGCTTAGAATAATCTAACACATGGTAAGTTTGCAAAAACTATTACTAATTAATTAATAGGCCTTTGACTATTTCCAAAATCATCATTGTATGACTTGGTCTTTGCCTTTTCCTCTCTTCTCAGCATCTCCCCCATCATTCCCCTACCAAATTCCTATTTTTATTATTTTGTAATTCCTTTTTTTTAATTTTTATTAAGTTGTTTAATACAGAGTAGTTTCACCATCACTTTTGTGGCCTTAGCTGTATATGACTAATAGCTTTTGGAGTTACTGCTCCAAGTGGCTTATCACGGCATTTCCCTTAACTAGGACAAATTCTCCTCTAAAAGGAATTCTGAGAGCAACTGACTTTATATACAAATATGTATTATACATGTTTGTATGTTTGTCAGTTGCTTCCAGAATTTCATACCTTGTGTGTATGTTGTATATATGATATCTTTAATTTATAGAATGTATTGTATTTTGATCCAGTTTAGCTGCACATCTTGGAAGGTGGTACTCTAATGTGTCATCACACTTTGATTATGAGACTGACTTTTGCACAAGGTCATTTGGCTAAGTGCAGTACTAAGGTATTTTAACTAGATGCTTACTACTCTCCAAAGCCCACGCTCTTTCTATTATATCTAGCCACTTATTTGTGTGAACATAACTTGATTCTCACAGCAACCTCAAGAGGCTGACACAATTATTATCACTTTTTACATTTAAGGAAACTGAGGCTTCGAGAGGTTAAGTGTGTTGACCAAGATCATGCAGTGAGTAAATAACGGGCCCAAGTCAGACCATTTGCTTTTTGCAGATCTAATTTTTCACAATTATGCTGTATTAACTCCCACCCCAAAATAAAGGGGGCCACATAGGCAAAGTAGGGCATCCAGGTTAAATACATAGTTAGGCTGATTTGTTCTAATACATGTTACACAGAGCTGCTGTTAAAAGCAAAACAATTCCCCATAAGAATTCTACAGGATCCACTGAATGCTAGAAATTCAGTCAAACTCAGTTTATGGAATACTGAATTAAAAAGCATTTGCCTCATAGCATTAGCCTTCTTGTTGATTCATAAGATGCAAATGAAATGTTAATGTTAAAGCCAAGGGAGAGAAACTACTTATTTTGAGAGGAAAAATATAAGAGCTCCACTATAGAATACTGTTGATGTAATGTAAGGAGAACCAGGAGGACAAGACAGGCAGTCTTTTGATACAAATCACAGCTGAAGATGGAGCTTAATAGTTTCCAGCATGAAAAGACCAAGAATTCAAAGATCATTGTGTGTGTGTGCGTGTGTGTGTGTGTGTGTGTGTGCATGTGTGTGCTTGTTTTATTAAGCTTCTCCTGCCTCAAACTTCCCTCACCCCCATTTAGCTGGTGACTGGAAGCCTTCTAATGAAAGCACAGTATGTGACGATCACTAGTTGGCATTCTCTGCTGGAGACTAGCCTCACCCAGGGTTGACCCTGTGGATGCATGGAAAGGCTATTTAATGCCTGGGCGAAGGGTTCAGGGACCAATATTTTATTAAGCTTCAGGGATGAGAGTTGTGAGCCTGCTTCCCTGATTTAGAGACACTTTGGAGCTCCAACAGCTCCACCCCAGTGTTCTAGAGGCATTTATTCCTCCATGCTCTCTGCCTTATCTGAAAGCAACACAGCTTCCGTATTCCGCCTGGGAAGTGATTCAATCTTTAGAAATTGCCCAAAAAGCCTGTCCATCTGCTGGGGTGCCTGGCTTTCTGGAACGGACAAGGAGGAGCTTGGCTTTTAATCTGAGCAACTTGAAGATTTTCTGTTTGAAACTTAAAATCTCCGCTTAATTCAAAGGAAAAGAGACACACGCTCTGGCTTTGTAGACATTGGGGAAATCCGTGTGACGAAGTATGGTCTAGAAATTCCTGATTTAATTTCCCCCGGGAAAGAGTGAACATTTCTATTTGGTACTGGGCAGTCCACTGAAGTCATCTGCCTTTTAAAGGTGTGTGCGAGAGGGTTGTGGCGGGGAGGAACGGGGAGAAATCAGCTCAGTACGTAGGGTTGCCCCAGGCCAACCAGCAGCTGTTCCTGTTAACTCCCAGGAGGCGAGTTTCCACCTTTGTCGCCTCCTCCAGCCCCTCCCTCCCTCCTTTGCTCTCGCCCTTGCACCCAAAGCTCGCGTCCGGCGTGAGTTCCCCACCTCCACCGCCTTGCCCCACGAAGGCGAAGGAAGCCCGCAATATCACCACCGAAAATTCCCCGAAGAGTGTGAGTCAGTGCAATGGGAGTCTTGGGAAAAGAAACGGGCAATTTGGCTTTCTGAACCGCGACATCGCTGGGTGGGCAGTATGAACTGAGGCTTTAGGAGCAGGGTAACGCTACTAGGCACTGACAGTCCCCGGGGCCCACCCGGAGCGACAGCTTCTGTGGTCGGCACCCTATTGGCGGGTGTGGCACCAGGGGCGGAGCCACGAGAAAACCCCGCCCAACCCGATGCCGGCAGAGCGGCGCTTGCCTCCTGGGCGAAGTTCCAGAGCTGGGCTGAGTGAGCCTACGACTCGGTCCTGCAGCGCCTCTAGGCTGCGGATCCGCGCTCCAACCTGCTCTGCGCTGCGTCCTGGGAAACCCGGAGAAGAGAGGAGGGAGGGAGAGAGGGAGGGAGGAGGCGGAGGGAGGAGAAGAGAGGCAGTTTACACACGCCTTCCAGTTCCTCCACTCAGAGCAGCCCCGAGTGCTGCTGCCGCCGCTGCTGTCCCTGACGCTGCTATCACTGCCACCGCTGCTGCCACCTGAGGAGACCAGACCGCCTGGACCCGCCGCTCCCTGTTGCCATCCCCGACGATTCCTTCCTAGCACCGGGCTTTTTATGCACACTGCCACTACCACTATTATTATTATTATTATTATTCCAAGAGAAGGGAAATAACAGACCAGCCGAAAAGAACCACGTACACCTTTCTGAATTGCTCAAGGGTCTCCCGGGAAGAGCGGGTCGCCGGTCCCGGGAGGAGCAGCCAAGGGTGCCAAGGGCGAGTGCTGAAAAGGGAGGGAGGAGGAGTTGGGGTCCTGCGTGGTGGAAAGTTACGCGCGGCGGAGACCAGAAGGTGCAGCGCCACAGCCCAGGGGGCGGTGGTGTGTCTGGAAGAAGCCGCTGCCCCCTGCATCCCGAACCGCGAGCGCGCGGGCAGCGCGGGGCCGGGAACGACGCCCCCCTCCTGCGGCGCGGACTCTCGGTGGCCCCGGAGGAGGAGGAATATGGCATCGAAGGCGGCTCCTTCCTGCCGTCTGGTCTTCTGTCTCTTGATCTCCGCGGCTGTCCTCAGGCCAGGTGAGCAGGGACCTCGGAGCAGCCCCGGACCGACGTGGGCCGGGGGCAGTTTCCTTTGGTCCCCGGCCCCGGCCTTGCACCGCGGGAGCAGTACCCCAGGCGCGTGGGGGAGGTAAAGGGATAGCGGTGAGGGCGCAGAGCTGGTACGAGGTTCAGTCACCTGTGCCGCACATTGGGGCTCGGCCGGCTGGCCCAAGTTTGGGCAGCGACTGTGGGCACTGGGTAAATCTCCGGGAACTTTGGGTGCGGCCGGGGTCTGTCTCCCGTTCGCCCAGTGGCTCCCTCCTAGGTGGCGAGCTCTCGGCCACTGACAATCTCTCCCGTCCCTGAATCTCAAAGTTCACGTCACTTTGCTCCGGGCAGTTTTCCTTTCACTTAGCTCTCGGAGGCAATAACTGCCCGCACTTTCTCGTGATAAATCCCCTGGTAACTTCCCCGTGGTGTGAAGCGAAGAGGCGATGGGAGGGTGCTGTAGAGTAGAAAGAGGACTTGAATCCCTCCCTTAACTAACCTCCTAAATCTTAAATCGTTCTTTAGATGCCCCTCCCCCACTGTCTGAGTGGGCAGTGAGTGTACGGGTGGTGGCAGGCAAAGAACGCAGGCTGAACTAGAATAAGGAGGCAGGTTTGCGATACCTCGCTGAGGGGTTTGTGGATTTTTCAGGACCGGTGTTTCAACCTCAGGTCTCTCAGTTTTGTACTGAATCGCAGAAGAAATAAGGCAAAACCCCCAGCAACTAAAAATATCTCGCCGGGAATCCCTGCCCTCGCCCTAGGGCCGTCCCCTGGTTCTGTCATCCTGAGACCCGCGGGCAGCTGACACGAGTTGTTTCTAACAGCGCATTCTGCTTGCTCGCCGTCTCGGGACCGAGCAGCAGGTTCATCTCCTCGCTAGACTTGAGGATTTTCTGGATTTTTTTTTTCTCCCCTTGAAGTTTTGATCGCTAGCCCTTCGTAGACAGGTGCAAGTAAAACTCCTACTTCCTGTTATTTCGGCTTCTGTTTGTTGTTTTAGCCTTTTCTTTAGTTTTTTTTTATCAAAGAAAAAACTCAGTTCCTTTTTGCATCTTTAATTTCTGCACATCCCTGCAGTTGTTGGCAAGCTGAGGCCAAAAAAGAGTTTAGAAAGCTTCTGGATGTCTCCCAGGAAAAGGGGGGAAGTGAGGCTGGGGGCTAGAGTGTGAGGAGTGTTTGTGAAGTACTGCTGTGTGTGTTTGTGGTGATAGAGGTGCGGGGAGGGGGTGGGGTGCCCTCTCTCGATCGCTGTATTGAAGTTACATTTCTGGTGAAGTAAAGAGCTCACCCGCTCTTCTGAGGCTGGAGAAAGAGGCATCTGTGCCTAATCTCCAGCTCTGGGGCGGGGACTGGGAAATGTGAGTCGAACCGGATTTAAAGCAGGTGGGGTGGGGTAAAAAAAAAAAAAAAGCCCCGGGCGCTGGCGCGGGAGAGGGGAGATCCCCTTGTGTTTGACACTGTGTGGCTTTCTCGTTTTCGTGATCCCAGTGTCCAATGTGAGAAGGAAGGTCACTCACTCTGGGGCCGAAAGGAGAGAAGGGAGGACGGGGGTGATGTAGTTTGTAAAATGCAAAGATCCACGCGCCCACAGTTGGTTTTCAGTTTAACCCTGTCGCCCTCTTGAGAGTGCAATCTCACCTACAGCCCCACCCCGGGAGCATACGCCCAGTTTCCTTTTACGCGCGCTCGCGCTCTGACTTTCAATGGGGCCACCTCGGAGGACAGGTTTTCCCCCACATTTTAAGTGCTAAAAGGGAAGAGGTTCCTCTTTCAGACTCCGTTGGTGGCGATTCTTTTGGCGCGTGGGCTCGCGTCTCTTCTCCAGCTCCGCGCTTTCGGCGAGAGTCAAGCCGGGCTCCCCTAGGGGTCAGAAGCCTCAGCCCCTCAGATCAGTGGTTTCCTTGAATTTACCCGGCTGGCATATGCGCGAAGTGCTCGGTGAGGTGTCAGTATGTTTTAAAAGAAAGGATTGCGACCCTAAAAGCACCATGTCCGGACTCAGGACTCTCCAGTCCTGGACTGCAAGTGCGCCTCTTCCGAGCCCTCTGCAAAGCTGAGCCTGGTGGGAATGCAGGGCCAAAGGCTGGCTTAGTCGAAGGGACTCTGACTTCCCCGCCTGCTGCCCCTGATTTCCGGAGCAATTGTAATAGTGTGTGTCCAGATCTAGACAAAAATTCGAGTTCACGAACCTGCTCCTGTAGGTCTTTTGATCTGTAGCCACTACATGAACACTGATGTATTTTAGGCATGGCACGTTACCTGTTTTGAAGGGAAGGGAAAATATGTATGAACCAGTAAAACTGAATATGGACTTATAAAGGCAATGAAGTATATGTGCTCATAATACCGGGGAGCGAAGAATCTCATTTTATAGAGAGCGTCAGCCTGTGGTGACATTTTGTATTGCTTTAGAAAAGGCTTTCCTTGATTATTTACAAGGAAGTGGAGCCCTGCAGTTAACTGTTTCTTCACTTGGGTCATCTGTGTGCACTCCTCTCTGGAGTTTTTTCTTAATTACTTATTGATACAAGGTTCATTCCAAGACATAAGCACACTGAAAGCTTTTTTTTTTTTTTCAGGAGGATATTGTGTTCAGAAAGTATCAGTTAATCTTAATTAGGCCTTGGGAAAAGCATCAATTTAAATACTGTTCTTTCAGACTACCTGATGTGGGACTATTAAAATGTATTAATTTTAAAACTGCAAACTGCTTAATAGCCAGTAAATAGTGCCTTTTCCTTGTTGATGTATTTAATCTAATAAAAATTACAATTTAATGGGGTACTATTTTCAGTAAACTGCTTTTCTGGGCTTGGTTCAGGACCATCTACCTTTAGGCATGTTGAGCATGCTGTTTCACCTTTTTGGGTTTTAGCTTTCTTAGCTGAAAGTAAAACGGAGGACTAAGGGTCTACTCTCTGAGACAGCTTCAGCTCAACATTGTTTCTAACCACCTAAGGTAAAAAGCTGATTAGGGCAAGGAAGAATCGTTTTCCTGTATTTTTCCAATGCTTTCAGACAGCCTAGATGGACACAATTCATATAAATTGTATTACTAGAAAATGTCAGTGGACTTCAACTGCTAATTTTCTGCCTTTTTTCTTTTATAAACTCATTATAATATCTTGTACTTATTCCTCCAGGCCTGAATAGGGCTATGAAGAAAAAGAAAAAAAAAACAAATAAAAATGTGATGGAGAGGGCTTAACCTCCCAGTCTCCTGGGTAAAGAGGCCCCAACAGGTTTTCAGATCTCAAAAACCTCCATTAGTGAAACCCATCCCTACTGGAAGTTTGACTTATTTAAACTTCATATATAGTTCCTAGAACAAAATATAAGTGATGGTTGACACTAATATGTTCATGTGAAAAAGACTTATATGTATACCCAAAAAATGCTCCTAAACAAAGAAGTTGATTTGCACCATGGTTGTGAGTGCAATAGAGAAAGAAATAGAAAACACTAATGCTCTCATGTTTTCAATTCTGTTCAGATCCAAAATCTTTTCATGACTAATCCAACAAAAGTCAGATTCCAAACTTTTTCTGACTTTACAGAAAATTCAAGCTATCATATCATTTTAATAGATATTTGGAAGAGAAAGCTTGTCTATTGTTGACTTATCAAAAAGAAAGTAATCGATAAAAACCTACTTTCATAGTCATAAGTGTTACCAGAAAATTCTATATTTTGGGACCCATATTCATGTGTTCAGTTTTTAGCTATGCTATGTAAGAATATTCTGACCTTGGGAAAGTTATTCTTCTGCTCCTTTTTATTTCCCATCTGTAAAATTTTCTCCCTATGTAATGCATGGTTCTGATTAGTAATTCCCTTGCTCAGCATTTTGAACTTTTTCAAGTAAAACAAGCTATATTAAGACTTTTATTATATTCTTAATAAAATAGCACTCTTTATTGCACTTAATTATCACAACCATTTTATTGAAAGCAAGGCAAAATTTTTCTTCTTTTTTCTTCTCCTTTTCCTTTTACTCCCCAGGTTTTCATGCCACTATAGGCCTTTACAAAACTGAATACTAAGTTGTCAGCATTACTTGGTGTAAGATGACAGTATTTTGCCATATAGTATTTTAAATGCTTTACAATCAACTTGTCTTATACTCTCAAACACACCTTTTTCTGTTCTGGCCATTTATTTTGCATAAAACATCCAAGAGTCCTAGCTCTCTGAAGCCATTAACTCAAGTAGACATATGTAGTACGTATCCCAAATATGCAGGACAGCAACATACATGCAGCTATGATAAAAAAAAGTACCTCTGTGCCACTGTGTATACATAGAAACTTAAATTTATCTCCTCTCAAAGTGTTAATTTTATTCTTCATTGTTAGGTTTTCACAAAGGCCCACTTCATTTCTTACATATGGATGTATGTGGCATATTAAGAAATAAGCTAACTCTCTGGAATACTAAAGAAAGTTTTCTTGGGAGTGGTGGGTGATGAATTAATATTTATTAATTACTTTTGGATATCGGTTTCTTTTTATTTTCAATAAGAGATGAAAAGGCCAGAAAAATGTCCACTTATATTTCACACTCTTTTTTTAATTAGGTCAGAATTTTCCCTTTCCTGTGGAGATAAAACTCAAGAAAATATATCCTCTATATTTCAGAAGAAGATTATAGGCTGTTTGATAAAATTAAATCCTACAGTTATTATAAATATTCCTATGGTGTACAAAGTATTAACATATATCTGGAATTACTGATGTTTTTGTCCAGCTAATTTCTCTGTTTAAATAATAATATTTATATTATCTCCCTTCTGTCTTGTTGTTAGATGGAATACCATATATATTTCAACTAAGACTAGTTCCAAATGTGCTGTGGTATTCAGTAATTGTTTTATGGTAACCTATTATCATAAGCCATTGTTGTAGTGTATGTTCCAAGAATGAAATTAGCTTTTAGTGCTTATTTATCCATTCAGTTCTCAATTATCCATTACATTCAAGGGAAAAT